ATCCTTAAATTTATCATTTCTAACTGCATATTGTTGCTCTAGAGTAAAACCTTATGTTTTCGTGATGAATTTTTTTTTTTGTTTTTTGAATAATCATTAAAATACGTATCCTTTAGAGTCAAGTAGAGACAGCCTTGACTCTATAAATAGATTTGCTTTCTCCAGTAGGTGGCAGTGTCTTATGAATCAAGAAAAAGTGGTGATGAGATGGCTTCAGTGAGACTTTCGTTGTGGTGGTTTTTGTGATGAGGTGCTTTGATTGGTTAGTTTTATTTTGTTTTCATGAATAATATGTATCTTCGTGTATGTGTTCTGGTTTTGTTTTGTACCATGTGGCAGTAATTTGGGTGCTTTCCTCAACTGTTGCTTAATTACCTTTATTAGCCAAGATTTTTAGAGTAAATTTTTTAAAATTAATACTACTATAAATTATCTTCTAACTCACTCTCCCTCTGAATATATGCAGTGATGTTAAACTGTGTACATTGTTCTTTTTTTGTTTAGCCCGAGAAGCCCTGCCAACATGGGACAAACAGATCCAGTCACTTTGTTTCCAAGTGAATAACCTTTTGGAGAAGATTAGCCAGACAGCCCCAGAGTGGACAGCACAAGCCCTGGAGGCCCAGATGGCTCAGTGAGCCCTTACACACCTGTGCACACCACATCTTGTTCAGTGCTGTACAGATTACTTTCACTGTGTCTCCAAAGCATTTGCATCATGACCTTACGTATTTCAATCCCTTTTATGCTGGGTTCTATTTAAAGAAGACACTAGAACGGAAAGTGCAAGCATTTAAAAATATGTAGTTACCATATATTCAGGGTCTCTGTGTATCAGGCTAACTCAAATGTTTTGAAAGCTTTTTCTCTAAACGGAGTAAGTGAAATATCTGTGGCTAAAAAGTTTGGGATTTGTGATAACTTTGTAGTCATGTAAAACTGAAGTGCTTTGTGCCTCTCCAAATGTGGTAATTCTAATAAATGGAGCAGTGAGCCAAATAAAAGTAGTACTTTGTTTTTAATTAGTGAACAGTGCTTTGTTCATTTTTCCTTTCAGTTCAAACAGACATCGATTTACACCACATGCTAGCGGTACAGCGGGTATGCCGTAATGCTGTTCTCCAGGCATTCAGACTCACAGAGCCAGTAGATGGCAGGTGCAATATTGGTAATTGCACCAGGCACTAGAGCACATGGGGTGGAGCTTTTTGGGTAGCAGAGAGAGATCAGGGAAGGCCCCTCAGGATCATTCAGGCTGCTTTGTAAGGAAAATGGGGAAAAGACTTTTGTAAAAAGTTTGTGGGCAGCTTCCAGTTTCAGCTCCAACATGTGAAGAGCTTGGAAGTCCTGACTCCATTTTCACAATAAGGAAAAGGCCAAACGGGCTGAAAATCAATGGCCCGTTTCCACCAGGGAATTGAGGTCACAGGGCAGACCGCCACAAAACGGAAAGACAGGCAGATAGAATCACAGTTGAGAGAACTTGGAGCAGTAGCTTCTGGAGAAATAACTGATATGAACAGTGAAATGGTAACTGACAGGTTACTGGAGGCTGAATATAAACTAGCTTGAGGGATAAAACCCCCTGAGAGTCCACTCTTAGGGGAACCCCTATACATTCTAGGATTTGTTCCCAGGAGCCCCATCAGATTCTCAGGAGTACGATTGGGGTCCCCTTGGTTTTCAGGCAGGGCAGGGGAGGGGAAATACACCTGGATGATTTGCCTTGACAAAGACCTGCCCTCTAAGGAAAACTACCATTACTAGAGCCTTGTCCAACCTGGGGCAAATGCAGTTACACAATTCGAGCCCTCTCTAGTCTTCTCGTGTCCTTTAAGAGGAGGGGGAGAAAAAGACTTCTGAAGGTCACAGCCCAGGGACTCAGATAAGTAAAAACAGAGATGGCACCAAAGATTATAGATTGCTTCCCAAATCTAGTCCATCAAATGGGGTTCCAGTGTAGTAATAGTGGAATTCATGAGCTGCAGGACACACTTTAAGAAAGAAGTCTTGGGGCACCTGGGTAGCTTAAGTCGGTTGAGCGTCCGACTTTCGCTTAGGTCATGATCTCGCGGTTCGTGGGTTCGGGCCCCGCGTCGGGCTCTGTGCTGACTGCCAGCTTGGAGCCTGGAGCCTGTTTCGGTCTGTGTCTCCCTCTCTGACCCTCCCCTGCTCATGCTCTGCCTCTCTCTCTCTCCTAGAAATAAATAAAAATAAAAATAAAAAAAAAAAGCATTTGACAAAATCCAGCAAAACTCAGACAACTAGGGATAGAGAACTTCTTCAACTTGATAACATCTCCCCCCCCAAAAACCATCACTGACATCGTATTAATGGTGAGAAACTAGGAGCAGCTGGGTGGCTCAGTGAGTTAACCATCTGACTTTGGCTCAGGTCATGATCTCATGGCTGGTGAGTTCCAGCCCTTCATTGGACTCTGTGCTGAAAGCTCAGAGCCTAGAGCCTGCTTTGAATTCAGTGTCTCCCTCTCTCTCTGTGCCTCCCCCATTCATGCTCTGCCTCTCTCTCAAAAATAAACATCAAAAAAAAATTTTTTTTAATGGTTAGAAACTGGATTACTATATTCTTTATCCCTAAGATTGGGAATCTACAAAAAAATCCTGTGACTAACACTATATTTAATAGTGAGAAACTAGAAAACCTGTACCTTTCCCCTTAAGATCAGAAATAAGACAAGAATGTCTATCCTCATCATTCCTACTCAATATCATACTGAAAGTCCTAAGAATGCAGTAAGACCAAAAAAAAAGATATTAAACAGAATGGGAAGGAGGGAAAAAACAGTCTTTGTTCACAGTTGACATGATTGTTTACACAGAAAATACCAAGGAATCAGCAAAAAAAAAAAAAAAAAAATCCTAAAAAATGATTATAGCAAAATTGTAGAATACAAAGTTAATATACAAAAGTCTATTGCTTTCCTATATATATCAATGAACAGTGGAACTTGAAATTTTAAAAATGTATATGTGTTGAAGGTAGTGAAAATAGGGAATTATATGAGTGAAGAAGTAGTAGGAGAATAGGCTAAAGAGGTAAACTGAGGCTATATTAGGAAGGACCAGGGGAAACTTGGGGTCTTTTTTCAGAATGTTTAACTTGTGGCAGGCAGTTTATAGGATGAACTGGAAAGACGGTAAAGGGAGCTGCAGTTCCTAGAGGCAGGTAGCCTAGTTCAGGAGCTACATGCCTGATTTTCCAAAGAGATAATGAGGGTTTGAGCTACATTCATGAAAGTGAAGACAAAGAGGAGAGATTGACTCATTCAATAAATGATTTGAGGAGGCATCTAGCAGGTGTCAGGCATTGTTCTAGGCACTGGGGATGCAGCAACAAACAAAATAGATCATCCATTGGGGGTATCAAGTGGAATTTACAGAAGCCAGTGTCTGATTAGATGTGAGGAGAAGGGAGACAGGTGTGATTAGAAAACTCAGGAATCATTGACATTTGGATTTCTCATCTTGAACATTTGAGTAAGTGCTGGTATTGCTTGACACGCTGGGTAGAGAGAAGGCCTAGAGGATATCCAGATGGACTTGGTTAGTAGGCGGCTGAAGAGTCATTCAGAACACCAATAGTAAGGCAGAGATTGGAAATATAGTCCTCCTTGACATATAAAAGGCAGGTGAAGCCTTCGGAGTAGATGACACCAGGAAGAACATGAGGAATAAAAGGAATGGATCCCTGATATAACCTTGAAAAGTGCCAGAATAAAGGAAGGCACAGAGCACTCCACTTTGCTGAGTTTAAGGTCCAGGTGACTTAACATTTTTAAAAATATTTCTTTATTCATGGGGTGCCTGGGTGGCTCAATCGGTTAAGTGTCCGACTTCGGCTCAGGTCATGATCTCAGGGTTTGTGGGTTGGAGGCCCGCGTGGGGCTCTGTGCTGACAGCTAGCTCAGAGCCTGGAGCCTGTTTCAGATTCTGTATCTCCCTCTCTCTCTCTGACCCTCCCCTGTTCATACTCTCTCTCTCTCTCTCTCTCTCTCTCAGAAATAAATAAAACAAAAAAATTTAATATTTATTTATTCTTGAGAGAGAGAGAGAGAGGAGTGAGAGAGAGAGAGAAGGGGACAGAGGATCTGAAGCAAGCTCTGTGCTGACAGCCCAATGCAGGGCTCAGACTCACAAACCGTGAGATCATGACCTTAAGCCAAAGTTGGACACTTAACCAACTGAGCCATGCAGGTGCCCTGTAGGTGCCTTTACATTTCATCTCTCTGAAATGTCACAACAAACCTGTACAGTAGTTTTGCCTCCCCTTCCCCTACCCCGACAAATGAAATGGATTCAAGGGTAGGAGGAAAACCAAAGGAAAGTGGGAAAGTGAGATTTTCATCAGGACAACACGTTGCATGTGGAGCATAGAGAGTAATAAATGTGAAAAAAATTGCCCCACACATTTATCATCAACATTTAGTCAAAATGTTCATACTGAATTTGATCACTGAAGTTTTGTTACTTGTCCTGATACTTCATGTTCAAAAGAGAAAGAAAATCAACACAACGAAACCATCAGCCATGTGACCAGGAAGCAGGGCACAGTGTGTTGTTACCTTGTCAGCATTAATAATACTTATTTGGGAACATGATAAGGAACAAAAGTATTAGTTAAATGTATTATAAGTGTCTTAGAATAGCTATCCATAGTCTTTTATTCTGTCTCAACGTTCTTAGATGAAAGAGAACTGAGTTGCTGTGGACCGAAATCTCCTGCCAAGAAACCAACCTACCAGAACAAAAGAGGAGACTGAGCCTTAAAATTAACTAATGACATAAAGACATTGACAGCAAAAAAGCATAGAGTATCTTGTTAGTAAAATCTTTTATTTTGTTTATATATGAAATGTAACACAAAATCCATAAGCCAGAAAATTTAATAATATGAAAGCAAAGAGAAACTAAGCCGAACCATTTAGCAAAACTAAGCAAAAACATTCATTTAAAATCAATCAAAATCCCCTTCTTTTACCCCATTGATTGTGATTAAGCATATCTGTCATGTTTCATTTGCAAAAGGCAGAGGGTTCAAACTGAAGAAGTGTCTGCTGATTTTAGTTGCTTCAAAAAAAGCTTTTCACCTGTAAAGGACACACAAAGAAGAGAGTTGAGTTTTCTCAATCTACTTTTTAATTTCAATAAACTTTAAATTTTAGAATCATTTTAGATTTACAGAAACGTTGCACAGATAGTACAAAGAGCTCTTACATACCCCGCACCAGTTTCCCTACCAGTTAACATCTTGCTAAGGTAGGTTTGTTACAACTAAGGAACCAGTGTTGATACATAATATTATTAATCAAAGCATATACCTTAGTTAGATTTCTCAAATTTTACCGAATGTCTTTTTTTCTGTTCCAGGATCCCATCTAGGACAGCACGTTACATTCAGTTGTCATGTTTCCATACCTGCCTCTAAACTGTGATTGTTTCTCGGCTTTCTTTCTTTGTGACGACCTTGACAATTTTGGCAAGTACTGGTCAGGTATCTTGCAGAAAACCTATGCGTCCGTTTGGATCTGGCCCATGTTTTTCTCTTGGTTGGACTGGAGTTACGGGGTTTTGAGAGAAGACCACAAAGGTAGAGCGCAGTTCTCATCACATCATTTCAAGGGGACACGCTATCACCATGACTCATCACTGATGAGGTTCTCTTTGTTCACTTGGCTGCAATAGTTTTGTCAGGTTTCTCCACTATAAGCCTACTCTTTTCTCCCCCTTTTCATACTGTTCTTTGAAGAAAAGTTACTGTGCAAACCCATTCTTAAGAGGTAGGAGTTACACTCCGTTGCCTTGAGGGAGGAGCACATACATACATTGTTTGGAATTCTTCCATACTTCTGAAAGATTCGTCTGTTCTCCCCCACATGTTTATTTATTTGTTTGTCGGTTTAATCATGTATTTATAGAACTATGGACTCAATAGATATTTTATCCTGGCTATAATCTGTCCATTTATAATCTAATACTACTTTACTTTGTTGCCTCAATTGTTTCAGTGTTCACAATTGGGGGCTTTTTCAGTTGTTTTTATGCCTCCTTGTTTTTACCTGTTTTTGCGTGTGTGTGTTTATTTCTTTATTTGGGGGGGGGGGGGCAGAGAGAGAATTCCAAGCAGGCTCTGCACTGACCTGGGGCTTGGGGCTTGATCTCACAAATCATGAGATCATAACCTGAGCCGAAATCAAGAGTCAGTGGGACACTTAATCAACTGAGCCACCCAGGCACCCCTAGTGGGTGGTATAGTTTAACTCTTGCTAGTCTAGATTTCAGCATCATACCTTGTCATTTCCCTATACCTCCCACCCACACCTTTATTGTAAGTAGTTTTCATCAAATCCTTGTATTATTACAATGTGAATGCTATCTATTTCCTATTGTGACCTTGATATTCACTTTCACTTTAGAGTAAAAAACCATTCCTTTCAAGAAATGCCTTTCTTTCTTTCTTTCTTTCTTTCTTTCTTTCTTTCTTTCTTTCTTTCTCTTTCTTTCTTTCTTTCTTTCTTTCTTTCTTTCTTTCTTTCTTTCTTTCTTTCTTTCTCTTTCTTTCTTTCTTTCTTTCTTTCTTTCTTTCTTTCTTTCTTTCTTTCTTTTTCTTTCTTTCTTTCTTTCTTTCTTTCTTTCTTTCTTTCTTTCTTTCTTTCTTTCTAAGAGGGAGAGAAAATCCCAAGCAGGCCCCGTTCTGTCAGCATGGAGCCCAACATAGAGGCTCGAATCCACGAACCATGACATCATGATCTGAGCTGAAACCAAGAGTCAGTTGCTCAACCTGAGACATCCAGGTGCCCCCCTTCATTTACACATCTCATAGAATATGATTTTTTCTTCCTCTGACCTTAAAATATCACTTGGTCTAAAGTCCTTAGTCAAACCTGTCATTTTATTTAAAAGCTATTTAATCCTCTCTTTAGAGTATAAAGTCTCAAAGACAAGAGGACCAGCTTATTGATTTTTGTTCCCCACATCACCTAGCATCATCCTGCATAGTACTAGGTACTTGATACATTACTATCTGCTAAATAAATGATATTTTAAAATATATTCTCCATGAGTTATATTTGTTAACCTATGCAGAGTTCTCATTCACTTGAAAAAGAAAGTGGCATATTACAAAGAATGGGAAAATTAATGTTTTTCCCAATACTCAAAATAAATTCTATAGAAGACTGACAAAATCATGTTTATTTCTACTTTACTACATCCTCAATAGCTAATTCTGAAAATCCTGGAAAAATTAGTTGGAAATGAGTTGACTGATTTTTACAAAGTTCAGATTCTGTATAGCATTTCCAAATATTCTATGTTCTATATCCACCACTTTCAGAGTTCACTTTTTCCAATAAGATTTTCCTGCTTGAACTTACCTCATTATTGATAGATGCTTTATGCTGCAATCAGTTCAAATATTACAAAACATGTAATTTTTCATTTGTTCTACTACTTTATTTATCAATTTCTTTGGTCAATTTGTTTGTCTAAGTAGGGGGCATATTTTCTACTTCTTTTGTATCTCACCATACTCTGTTATTTTAGAAGTGGTAAGTGCTTCATTAATGGATCAAAAGAATTCTGAGAAGTCTAGAAAATTCACCATCCCTTTATTTACTAAAATATGATTTCAAAATATAAAGCTATTGTTATAGGCTCTTGTGCCCCCAGCAAAATTCATTTGTTAAAACCCGAACCCCCAGTGTGATGGTATTAGGAGGTAAACCCTCTGGGAAGTTATTAGGTTTAAATAAGGTCATGAAGGTGAGGCCCCCACAATGGAATTACTATCTGCATAAGAAGAGAGACCAGAGCTTGATCTCTTTTCGGGATTTGAAGACACAGTGAGAAGATGGCCACCTATAAGCTAGGAAGAGAGCCCCCACAGGAACTGAATTGGCCCACACCTTGATCTTGAACTTCCCACCCTTCAGAACTGTGAGAAATAAATTCTTGTGTAAACCACTCGCTCTATGCTATATTGTTATGGTGGCCCAAGTAAACTGATACAGCTATTTTCTTCATAACAAAAAACCAAAACCAATCCTTAAAGGAAAATAACATTAGAAAGACTTAAAGAATTATTATTATTGAATCATTACTCAAATTAATGCTAATTAACAAATCCCTTAGTTATATATTATACATATAATTGTCACATTTACAATTAATTATATTGCAATTATATAATAGTTGTTTTTTAAAAAGACAATTTCTGGGACCTACCATTAATTTTTTTTTTTAGAAAGTACGCATGGCTCTTCTTCTATTGATGTCCCTCTTGATCTGGCAAAGAGAACACTGAGGACAGCAAAGGGTCACCATATAGTCGTCACAAATGGATCCCTGTTGAAAATATAAAAGAAATTGAAATTTAAAATCCATCTATTAGGAAATTAAGACTTCAGGATTTTCAAGACACTTTGAAGAGAAGCAGAAAGAATTGATCCTCGGAATTCAGAGTTTGGATGGATACATTTTGGAAAATGTTAATTGATTTTTCCAAATAACTCCTCTTTTTATGACATCAAATGTTTTCCTATACTTCGTAATATTAAAAATAGGAGATATCAACAACCAAATTGTCAGTATGAAGGAAAAACAAAGAGTTCAGAAAGTAAACTCTCAAAATTCTTTCCTCCCACACCCCATCGCTGTCTCAAGAGGCTACTATGATACCGCCATCACAATGAGGGAGGAGACCTAGAAAGAGGGAGATGTGGGATATCAGAAACAGTAGCCTAACAAGAAAGAAGGTAATAAAATCTCCAGGCTCGTGGTGAAGGAGATCCCAGGGTGAGAGCTAAGAACTCTAAGAAATAAAGAGCAACTAGTTCGAAGGGTAGTATCAGCAGGGAGTGATGTCTTCAAGAAGATAATAATGATAGAACGTCTGATATGTTGAATGTGTTGTTAAGAGATTTAGAAAACTGGGAAAGATTAGTTTTGGGGTTAAAGTAAGTGAAAAACTACTCATGGGTAAATGAAAAAAACTACTAATTAAAATGCCAAGAATTATTAAGAGCAGAAAAAACAAAGTTTAATAGGAAAGGCAATCATAGTTCACTACATGACTCCACTCTGAAAACCTAACAGAAGTCTCATAATGTAAGTACCAAATATAGATTTAACCCAAATTACATACAATGATATTGGAAGGAGTGGGGTAGGGAAAAGGTGCACGTTTCTAGTGGAGAAGGAGAAGAAAATGGAACTAAATTCTCATCTTTCAGAGTGGGAGGTCTGTAGACAATGCCCCAAACTGAAAACTCAAAAAGTAGCAATGCAGTCTATGATTTGGAGATACAAAGGGAAACACTCACAGAGTTCTGGGAGTGAGGCAGTAGGGGAGAGAAGTTTGTGGACCACTATTTTTCTTAAAATGTTGGATAATCTGGGGCATCTGTTTGGCTCAACCTGTTAAGCATCCGACTCTTGATTTCAGCTCAGGTCGTGATCTCGTTCATGAGATAGAGCCCCGAGTTGGGCTCTGCACTGATGGCATGGAGCCTGTCTGGGATTCTCTCTCCCTTGCCCTCTTCCCCTCCCCCTCAAAATAAATAAATAAACTTAAAAAAAATTGGATAATCTAAAAACCTATGTGCTTGCAGAGCTTTGGTAAATAAATTAAACCTATACTAGAAAACAGGAACAGGGTTATTTAGTGGGCCAGAAATTTTGAGTAAGTTTTTGGAAATAGGAATCAGATGGGATTACACTGATGGAGAAAGTAAAACAGAAGTAGGGAACCTGAAACCTAACAGGGTCACAAGCAGGGCATTTGATAAACCTGGAAACTCAGGAGGAAGAACAGTCTGGGGAATGGAAGACATGAAGTTAACTAAAGCCTGCCTGTGCATTGGGGCGGGTCCAGCACCACTAGTTATGGCTTTGCTGCAGGGTACAGCATGTAGATAAATTTAACAGAGGATTCTGAGTTGGGCTTTAGGGCCCTATTAGAAGAGGGGAAGTGGTACGGCGGGGCGGGGGCGGGGGGCAGTTCTTCACCCATCTTCCAAGAGATCAGATTTCCTAAGACGACACAGACACACTTAAAGAAAGAATGAAAGGTAAAGACATGTTAGCACAGCAGAGAAATCTAAATTGCTCTCATCCATGGGATAGCCAAATTGTTTTATATTTGGTATTCACTGAATTTTTTTTTTAGTTCTTTTCTTCCTTTTGCTGCATAGGTCTTTCACGGTTTCTTTTCTTCCCTTTAGATGTCCCACTAATTTTTATCCAATTAGTGATTTCCCTTAATTTTTTTACTCAAACTTAAAATTATATTTATCTTGAGGTTCATCCAGGTTTTTGTGTGTATCAATAATTCATTCCTTTTTGTTACTGAGTAGTATTCCATTATATGGATATATCACGCTTTGCTTTTCCATTCACTCGCAAGGGGATATTTGGATTGTTTTTAGTTTAGGGCTGTTAAAAGCAAAACTGCTCTGAACACTTGATATAAGTCTTGGTATGGATGTAAATTTCCTTGGGTAAATATCCAGGAGTAGAATGACTGGGTCAAATGGCAGGTGTGTCTAACTTTTTAAGAAAATACCTTTTACATCCCAACCAGCAGTGCGTGTAAGTTTCAGTTCCTCCAAATCTGGCAATACTTGCTGTGGTTTGGTCTGATTAATTTTAGTCATTCCCATGGTTGTGTAATGGTATCTCATTGTGGTTTTCATGTATGTTTCTCTAATGACTAATGATGTTGAACATCTTTTTATGCGCTTCTTTGTCATCCAAATGTTTTCTTTTTCCATTAATTTTATTTAAAAAAATTTTTTTTAATGTTTTATTTATTTCTAGGAGAGAGAGAGAGAGACAGCGTGAGCAGGGGAGGGTCAGAGAGAGAGGGAGTCACAGACTCCGAAACAGGCTCCAGGCTCTGAGCTGGCAGTCAGCACAGAGCCTGACGCAGGGCTCGAACCCACGAACCGCGAGATCATGACCTAAGCGAAAGTCGGACGCTTAACCAACTAAGCCACCCAGGCGCCCCCATTAACTTTATTTTTATTGTGTTAAGAACACTTTTCATGAGATCTATCCTTTTAATAAATTTTAAGTGTACATAACACAACAACTTGGATGGACCTCAAAATAATCCTATTAAGTAAAAGAAGCTAGATAAAAGTGTACAGACTGTATAGTTCTATTATATAAAACTGCAGAAAATGCAAATTATAGTGACAGAAAGCATTGGTGGTTAGTTGGGGAAGAGGAGAGGAGAAAGAGGAAAGATTACAAATGGGTATGAGTAAACCTTCGGAGGTGATGAATATCGCTGCCTTGATTGTGAGGATGGTTTCATGGGTCTATATCATGACTATATAAACTTATCAAATTATGCACTTTACATATATGCAGCTTATTATAAGTCAATTATATATCAATAAAGTTTTTTAATGGAAAATAATTATATTTAGCTATCAATGTCATACAAAATAAAGTCTTTAGAATGCTTTATTCTTCCTCTTCTGTCCAATCTTCCAAATTTTTGTTAAAACCAAATAAAATTTACTTTCAGACTGTTTTTTTTTAAATGTTTATTTATTTTTGAGAGAGAGAGAGTGTGTGTGAGCAAAGGGGAGAGAGAGAGGGAGACACAGAATCTGAAGCAGGCATCAGGCTCTGAGCTGTCAGCACAGAGCCCCATGTGGGGCTTGAACTCAGGAACAGTGAGATCAGGACCTGAGCCAAAGTTGGACACTTAACCAACTGAGACACCCAGGCACCCCACTTTCAGACTGTTACTAGTTTTTCAGACTCCCGAAGAGTCTTTAGAAAAGTTGATTATGCAAAGTCACCACCCAAAAAACAAATAAGCCAGTGATGAAATGGGCAAAAGACATGAATAGACACTTTTCCAAAGAAGACATTTAGATGGCTAACAGACACATGAAAAAATGCTCAACAGCACTCATCATCAGGGAAATACAAATCAAAACCACAATATGATACCACCTCACACCCATCAAAATGACTAAAATTAACAACTCAGGCAATGACAGATGTTGACAAGGATGTAGAGAAAGAAGAGTCCTTTTACACTAAAGGTAGAAATGAAAACTGGTGCAGTCACTCTGGAAAACAGTATGGAGGTTTGTCAAAAAATTAAGAATAAAACGACCTAGAACCCAACAATTGCACTCCTAGGTATTTATCCAAAGGATACAGGTGTGCTGTTTCAAAGGGGCACATGCACCCCAATGTTTATAGCAGCACTATTGACAATAGGCAAAGTATGGAAAGAGCCCAAATGTCCATCGACTGATGAATGGATAAAGATGCAGTATACATATATACAATGGACTATTACTTGGCAATTAAAAAAAAAGAATGAAATCTTGCCATTCGCAACAATGTGGATGGAACTAGAGTGTATTATGCTAAGCAAAATTAGTCAGAGAAGGACATGACTTCATTCATATGTGGAATTTAAGATACAAAACAGATGAACATAGGGGAAGGGAAGCAAAAATAATATAAAAACAAGGAGAGGGCAAAACATAAGAGACTCTTAAATTGGAGAACAAACTGAGGGTTGGTGAAGCGGTGTGGGTGGGGGAATGGCTAAAGGGGCAAGAGGCATTGAGGAAGACACCTGATGGGATGAGCACTGGGTATGATATGTAGGGGATGAATCATTGGATTCTACTCCTGAAATCATTATTGCACTATATGCTAACTAACTTGGATGTATATTTTTTAAAAATTTAAAAAAAAGAAAATTTGATTATGGACTAAGCCTTTAAAAAACTAGTAATTTCATGTTAAACAATATAGCATAATTAAATAAAAAGCACTCACAAATCAATAAGAAAAAGCAAAAAACCCAATAAAGCAATGAACAAAAGATATGTACAGATAATTTACAGAAGCAATGCAAAAGGACGAAGAAGTTTTAAAAATTTGCTTGATCTTAATTAATAAAACTTAAACATCAATGAACTAACATTTTGCCTCTCCGATGGGCAAAATGAAAAAAATTATCCAATATTGGGCACACATATAATGTTAATGGATTTTAAGTTAATACAATTTTTTGGAGAGGAATTTGACAGTTTCAAATTTTGAATGTGCATATACTGTAATCTATCAATCTAATTTTGGACACTATTACACAAAAATACCAGTGCCTATACAGAAGCATAATGTTAAAAAGCATAAATAGTTAAATGTATTAACTATTTAATCTGAAATATTACTTAGCCTTTCATCAGTAGGGAAGTGATTAAGTAAATTACCTATATGGTGGAATATTATGAACACATTAAAAAGGATCTGTATTACAGATATAAAGGAGGTCTACCAACTATTAAGTGGGAAAAAAACAGTCTACAGTATATGACCCCATTTTAAAAGATAAAAACAAATCAGAATAAAACAGTCCCTCACTCCCTAAAGCCTATATGTCCACATCCATAGCTAGAGCTACATCTAATCTATATTTGTATGCCTTACAGGCATAAAAAAAAAAAAGCTAAAAGAGAGTGCACACCAAATTATTAACAGAGTTTATCACTGAGTAGTGGAAGTGTGTGTAAAGGGGTTAGATGTTCACTTTTTACTTCATGTAGTTTTGTGTTTGAATCTGTCATAAAATTATGTATAAAGCATATATTATTTTTGTAATAAAAAACTAACAAATGCTTTTCAGTTAACAAATAAACTAATTTCAATGGAATAAAATAAATTACTAAAGCATTCTATTCATTTGTTCCCTGTGATGGTTAATTTAATGTATCAACTTGGCTAGTCATCCACCCATATATTCTAGATGTTTCTGTGAAGATTTTTTAGATGAGAGTCACATTTAAACCAGTAGATTTTGAGTAAAGCAGATTATCCTCTGTAATGTGGCTAGGCGTCCTCCAATCAGTTGAAGGCCTCAACAGGGAAAGATTGACCCCCACCCCCCCCAGAGCAAGAAGAAATTTTGCCCACAGGCTGCCTTCAGACTCAAACTGCAACTTTCCCCAGCCTGCCAGCCTCCTCTGCTTTTTGGACTTGCCAACCCTCAAAATCCTATGAACCGATTCCTTAAAATCTCTCTCTCTGTATATGTATCTAGATTTCTCTATGTCTATATCATCTATATCTCCTTTTGGAAAGCCCTGACCAACACATTCTCCTAGTACATAAAGTCTAGCTTGTGGTATAGTGGAATGTGCATGCGTGGCATGTTACAGCTGAATATTGACAACTTCTACTAGGGTGCATATCTTTGGGTGAGTTCCTCTACCTCTTAAAACTTTTAAGTCCTTGTCTATAAAATGTGGCCCTACTCACTTTACGGGGATGGTGTAAGCATTCAGTGAGGTAACACATGTAACATACCTGGGGCTTGGTTGGTTCTGAATAATCCCCTTCCATTGAATGATATCCATTACAAATGAGAACTGCCTATGTTCTAGGGTCTTTAACAGAAACCTAGAAGGAGGTCACATAACTAAAGGATCTGTTGCCACACGACTGAATACAAGGCTGCACATGCCAGGAAACACCTACCGATCAAATTCAGGTGAGGGACACCATCAAATGGCTTCCAAGTTTAGAGCAATTATTTTGGAGGCGGGTGCATATGTGAATGACACAGTGTTGTAAGAGACTCACAGGAATGCCGTATCGGGTCCGGTAGAGAGTCCTCATTGCGACACTTGTTCCACACAGACAGCATTCATTCATGTCAGCTGCAACTTGACATGCGAGACACACGAAACAAAATGTGCCACAGAGACCTGGACATATGGAAGCAGAGGAACAGGTTACTCCACTCCGTTCCCACCGCGTTTGAAAGTTAGTTTGCTTTCACGAATAGCAGCCCCAATCATGACTGCCATCCATCCAGTAGGGCTGGATGGGATGGGTATAAAGCTGAAGGATGAGGCAGGTTGGGGACTGCATGATGAAGTGTGAGTGCTCGGAATTGGTTATGAAAGTTATGAAGAATCACTGAAATATTTTAAGAAGGAAGAATGATTTGGTCAGGGTTGCAATTAAGAAATCCTGCTATGAAGCAATTAAGCTTATATTAGAACTTGTAATTCACTTTTTTGAGGAACAATACTAGGGGCTGGAAGATTAAAATATTCATCTCTAGAATGTTTTAGAAATGCAGTCTTAGTGGGGCGCCTGGGTGGCTTAGTTGGTTAAGCTTCCGACTTTCGCTTAGGTCATGATCTCGCGGTTCGTGGGTTCGAGCCCTGTGTCGGGCTCTGTGCTGACTGCCAGCTCAGAGCCTGGAGCCTGTTTCAGAGTCTGTGACTCCCTCTCTCTCTGACCCTCCCCTGCTCACGCTGTCTCTCTCTCTCTCTCTCTCCTAGAAATAAATAAAACATTAAAAAAAATTAAAAGAAAAAAAAGAAATGTAGTCTTAGTATTACTATGATTTGCAGATGCTGAACTAGTCTTGAGATGTGTAAGTCATCACCCCAGATCATTCACTAAGACAATGAGAGAGAATAAACAAACCCATTGTTCCATTTTCTAGGTAAGTTTTCTCTCTTTGCTTTTTAAATTTTTTTAATGTTTATGTTTATTTTTGAAGCACAGAGAGAGAGACAGAGCTTGGGCGGGGGAAATGGGCAAAGAGAGAGGGAGACAGGCTCCAAGCTGTCAACACAGATCCTGATGTGGGGCTCGAGCTCACCAGCTGTGAGACCATGACCTGAGCCAAAATTGGACGCACAACTGACTGAGCCACCCAGACACCCCTCTCTCTGTGTTTTTTAAAGTACAGTTGACCCCTGGATGATGCAGAGGTTTGGGGGCCCCAACCCCTTGCACAGTCAAAAATCTGTGTGTAACTAAAAAATTATTTTTAATGTCTATTTATTTTTGAAAAAGAGAGAAAGAGACAGAGCATGAGAAGGGGAGGGATAAAGAGAGAGGGAGACACATAATCTAAAACAGTCTCCAGGCTCTGAGCTGTCCATACAGAGCCTGACTCAGGATTTAAACTCAGGAACAGTGAAATCAGGACCTGAGCTGGAGACAGACACGTCATCGACTGAGCCACCCAGGTGCCCCTGTGTGTAACTTTTGAATCCCCCCAAACTTAACTACTAATAGCCTACTACTAACAGGAAGCCTTACTCATAACATAAACAGTTGATTAACACGTATTTTATATGTTATATGTATTACACATTATATTCTTACACTAAGGTTAGCTAGAGAAAAGCAAATGTTCAGGAAAGCATGGGAAGAGAAAATGCTGTGAATGTACTGTCCTGCACAGAAACCTGCATAGACGTGAGCCATGTCTCACGTCTCACAACATAGGGTTGAGCAGTTCAACCCTAGGTTGTTCAGGGGTCAACTTGATTCCAAATTTCAATTTCATTGGTAAGTTAAAGTTTAATGTATTTTCTTTCCTGATCTCAGAACATTCTGTAGACTTGAGGCAGCAAATAAACCCCAGAGCAAATGTTTTTGTAGGCAGGTTGGTTTGTTTCTTTGCTGGTATTGAGAACTAAGCTTCTTGACATCTGACATTCCCATCCCACCCCCAAATTTACGCCTCCTCAACTTTACTTAGAGAGGTCTCACAAAAAGAAAACAAAGCAGAGTCACAGATTCTTTTCTGATGAGAAGCTGACTGCCTTTAGAATTCTGTATTCTCGGATATATAAAAAAATCTAAATGTAGAATTTAAAATAATCCTTTCCTGAGTCCACGTCAAAATCATGGATGAGTAGTACCCCTGTGTACCGCACAATGTAACTATAAAGTAATGAGTTTACATATAATAAAAACAGTCCTTTCTCTTTCTTTTTTTTTAATCAAGTTAAACTGGAAATGTCTCTTTTAAATTAATGTGTGGTCCATTTATAATCATTAGACCAGACCCACTCATTGTGAGAATCATCAGCTTTGTTACTGTTATCTTAACTCCAGAACTAATTTTAGAAGTAAGACTATTGTTTCACATGCTGGAGAAAAATTAACTTATAATCAGCACAAGCTTTTTTTCTTAACTTACCATTCACTGCCTGACATGCCAGGTGCCCTGTAATGGGCCAGGAACCTTCACTACACAATAAGGGAGGGATGAGGGAAGGCTTTGACCTTTGGTCATTCACCCCAGTGGCAATTATGGGGGCATTTCCTAGCACTTACAGACTCCGCAGTCACTGAAGCAATCACACATGCCTGTCTGCCAGTTGGAGTTTTGGGGTACAGGACCACATCCAGGCTGAGTCACGATGACCACTGGTGACTGGGCTTGCATTTTCGATGCAAGGTCTTAAATGGCAGTGGTCTGAAAAGGAAAAAGTTGGTGTAAGTAGAGTCAGCTTTGCTCATGGAAACCTGTTTTGATGCATTCTACTTCAAAGGCAAGTGTGACAATTTAGATGAAGTTGCTTGCTGACATTTTTGATTGATTGTTTGAAAGGTTTTTTTTATGTTTTATTTTTACTTGAGAGAGAGAGAGAAAGAAAGAGAGAGTGAGAGAAGGAGACAGGATCTGAAGGGGGCTCTGTGCTGACAGCAGAGAGCCTGATGTGGGGCTTGAACTTCTGAACCGTGAGATCATGCCCTGAGCTGAAGTGAGAAGCCAAACCAACTCAGCCACCCATGCACATAATAAAGTTTTTATTTAAATTCTAGTTAGTTAACATACAGGATAATATTGGTTTCAGGTACAGAATTTAATGATTTATCGCTTACATCTAACACCAGTGCTCCTCACAACAAATGCCCACCTTAACACCCATCACCCACTTAACCCAGCCCCCTGCCCACCTCCCTCCATCCTTGCTGATCTTTGAAGAACATAATTTCTATCTCTGCTCCCCAGAGGAGGGAGGCCCCTGGAGGAAGGAATTCCCTGAACTGGCCAAATGAACAATCGCTTCTCTTGGAGTAAGGGAGCAAAACAGGGTTATTGGTACTGGTTTTACACAGCTATCTAGTATCCACGCAAGATGGGAACCAATGACCAACTTGTACTAGTTGTCAGAAGTAGTGAATTGCAGAATACAGTAGGCTTCTTTAAAGTTGCACCGTCATCCTAAGCTTTTGTGTACACACATCCTTCCCCTCTTCTTCCTTTTATATGTTCCCTTTTCTTTTGGGTTTATTTCTGATTAGCAGTTGTAAAGAAAAACCTCCCCTATTTTCTGGCTACCCACAGAAGAGGTGACTTCTACTCACCAAATGTGTGGTATTTTTATCCCACACCAAGCAATTCTGCAATAGCAGCTCTAGTGTCCTACAGTCCAACTCAATTCTGACACAGTCTACAGGAGATAGCCTCAGATCCCACAGAGTAAGGATTCATTTAACAAGTCACTTACCAGAAAAAAAAAAAAAAAAGAATGAGGATAATCTCTATAAACTCACGTAGAATGATTTCCTGGATATCTGTTAAGTGAAAAAAGCAACATACAAGAGTATCTGTTGTATGACATCCTTTATGTAAGAAATAAAGGAAGGAATGTATATAGAAAACATACATATACAATAAGAATTACAGAAGGAATAAACCAGAAATGAATACGTTTGTTATGTTCAGAGTAAATAGGGTAAAACGAATGGGAGAATGGAAACAGAATGGTAGGGGTGAGGTGATACCAGTCATCACGAGGAAGTCACCAACTAGCTAAGGTGAGCCTACTGGAAGACAAAGGGGAGTCGAGACAGGAGAGATACGGCTAGAGTCCACTACCAGGGGAAGAGTCCACTCTTTTTTTTTTAATGTTTATTTATTTGTTTTCGAGAGGTGGGGGGGGACAGAGGGAGACAGAGAATCCCAAGCGTGCTTCGTGCTGTCAGCATAAAGCCTGACATAGGGCTTGAACTCGAGAGTCATGAGACTGTGACCTGAGCCCAAGCCAGACATTTAACCGACTGAAGCCACCCAGGTGCCCCTGTATTATAATTAATATTAAAACCACACTGAAAGGAGTAGGGAAGAAAAGGTTAACCATAACAACCTTGGAAATCAGTGTTTTGACTATGTAATGTAAGGCTAAAGACAAAAAGAACAAATATTTATACCCTAGCTATTAAACTTGTTTTTCATAAGAGTATGGGTTAGCAGTTCTGAAATTTCTTTATATATATCCATGCTGAGTAAATAAATATATTGTAGATAATAAGCCTGAGTAATCAAAATTAATATTACCAGTAATGGGACATATTGACATCATGTATTTGCTTAATATCATGTACTGAAGGATACAACATCATTTCTGTGTTATTTTACCAAAAATACATATTCAAAATCCACTCATGATAAAGTATCAGACAAACACAAGGGGAAGGATATTCTACAATATATCTGGCCAGTCCTCTTTAGAAGTGTCAACACTGTGAAAAACAGATGGAAGGGGACTAAGGAGATAGGGTGACCAAATACATTTTGGGATCTTGAATTGAATCCTGGAACAGAAAAGGGACTGTCAATACTCTTCAACCAGAGATCATGAAGAACACAAGTCTAGTTGAACAATTTGGGTTTATTACTTATAGCAAAGGGGAAGGCACACCATGGGGACTATAGGGTGTCTGAGTATCAAGGTATTAGAAAACACTTTTCAGCTGGGTAACCTTGGAAAAGGATCAAGGAAATGGAGGTGATCCAGAAAGGGGAATACAATTCTATGAGTGGGTATATTAATAAATCTTCTCTACAGGGAGCACTGACCTAGTGCAAGGATACCTCTGCAATTGGTAAAACAGAAGCAGTCATTCATATTAGCCAGGAAAGGGAAACATTGGTATGTTGTGGCTTGGATAATGCTTAAAGTTCAAGTATGTGTTCTAATATGATTATGGAATGCTAGTGTTTTTATCTTGATCCATCATGGTCACAGACTAGCCTTATCTGATAGTGATGCTCTGTGAAATTGTTTATGTGTAAGAGGAAAACATCAAGACCTTGTATGAGATGACAGGGATGGACCTTGAGGGTGTTAATGCTAAGTGAGATAAGTCAGACAGAGAAACATAAATACTGTATGATCTCCCTTATATGTGGAATCTAAAACCAACCAACCAAGGGCACTTGGGCGGCTCAGTGTGGAGCTTGTTTGTGATTCTCTCTCTCTGCACCCCCCCCCCATTTTGAAGACTCCCTTCAAAGTATTTCCCAAACACTTTGTGTGAGGGTTCCAATTATTGCACATCCTGGTCAACATTTGTTATTGTCTGTCTTTCTGTGTGCTATTTTTGCAACATTTTTCATAAATCTAAAATTATTTAAAAAAAAAAAAGACAAAACAAAACATAAAAAAGAGTCTGGGAAGAGGGGAGCCCTATAGGATTTACAGTGAAAAAAATAGAAAAATAGCCTGTTACAAATGCTGTAAAAAATATTTTCCTAAATTCAAGTAATACATAATGTAACTATAGCCATTATAAAAGTTTTGAATTTCCCTTCCTTATTCTTAGGAACTATTCTAAAGAATTTCTCTTTTGAGGGTGTGGGTGACGGTGGATGTCTCAGTCGGGTAAGCATTGCACTTCGACTCAGGTCATGATCTCACGATTTGTGGGTTTGAGCCCCGCTCTGGGCTCTGTGCTGACAGCCAGCTCAGAGCCTGGAGTCTGTTTCAGATTCTGTGTCTCCCTCTCTCTCTGACCCTCCCCTGTTCATGCTGTCTTTCTCTCAGAAATAAATAAAACATTGTTTAAAAATTTTAAAAAAGAATTTCTCTTTTTTTGTATAAAATACCATTAAACTGCATGCAGAATAGTTGAAGCTTATTTTAAATTTATTAGGTTTGTCCTTTAATAAAGATATATTAAAGTGGTTTTTGGTTTTGAGTTTTGCTTTATAAAAAAACAATACCGTAATGGCCTTTTACTGCTGTTTGGCAATAAAGGACGATTGTGGATGTCAAAGAAAACAATGCAAAGGAATGTTGTAGTAAGTAAACACAAAACCACTGGGGGCTGATCATGGGGGCGGGGTGTTATTTGCCATTGTCTATGTGGGGAGGAGTCTTCTATCCTGAAGTGATGGAATTTAGTGAACCATCTGGCTGTGCTTGGCCTCCCTTCGCAGGAGGTTAAGGAGGCTGAGAGCAGGTCGGTGTCAGGCTGAACCAAGCTGTCAAACCCTCCCTGCCCATCAGCAGCCCCTGTTTTGCCTTTGAGGGTAAATAGCCCATCTGGCCCCAGTTGCGGTCCAAAGGCGAGGTGACATCCCCTGATGCTGGGGTAGGCTGGCTTCAGCTCTGCTGCGCAGAGTGTGGGGTGGGCTTCTCATCTGGTCTGTGCCCTTGCCACCAAGGATGGTGAGTGCGAGCTGCAGTATTCCTGCCCCCGCGGAAGGTGTTTTCCAACAGGTACCCACATTCAGCCTTGTTGCTATCTTTGATTATGTGCTGGGCTCTCTCCCCTGCCGGTGCCTCCAAATTCTCCAGGGCAACATGCAACCGGCCCAAGGGTTGGGCCGGCGGCAGTGAGGGGGCCGACTGCTCCAGGCATCTGCCCCTCGAGGTCGTGGGAAGGGTCCGCGAGGCTGGGAGCCGCTGGTCTCTCCAGCTGGATGCGCGGCACGCACTGAACAAAGGGCGCGCGGCGGTCAGGATGAGCCTGGAGGGGACAGCGGCTGGGGCTTCGCGCAGCCTCAGGAGCTGCAGTCCAGGGCGAGGGACCCGGGGAGCTGGGACAGGTCCTCGCCCCGGCAGCCAGCTGGCCGCCCCCCCCCCCTGCCGCCGCGCCCCAGCCACCCAGGCTCACTGGGCATCTACATAAATTTAGAAACGCTTTCACTAGCTGGTGTCGGCTGTTCAGCTTACTTCTGATAGGGAAGTAAGACAGAAAGAAACTAACACGCCTCGCTGTTTTTAACGCCTATGAGGTGGGTTCTAGATTCTAATACCGGTGCATTTGCCCAGTTTTTATCTTAATAGGCAGCAACCGCAGTTTTCTGAACAAATTCCTTCTGTCGATCTCATGAGAAAGCAAGTAAAGAAATTTTCTTTCCTTTCCGTTGCTCACCCTTTTCACAATAATTAGCTTGGCTTTGGGGAAAGTAAGCCTCCAGCGTGGTATGGAAGCCCCGTAAAGGCAGCGAAATCTGTGCGCTGTTTTCGCTGATGTACTTCTTAAGTTTAGAATGGGCCTGGCACACAGGAGGTGCCCGTTAACATTCCCGCTACCACGTTCTCTTAACCCCCATCTTGCCGAGGCAATGCGTGATGCCGGTTGGAGATGGTGTACATCAGACCCTGGCTAGCGCCCACTGAAGCAATGGCTCTTCTTTACAAGACCCAGTTTTCCTCTATATCCCAAACTCCAGTACTAAAATGATAGAAGGGGGTGATAGGTTCCCCCATTTGGGGAAGAAGACACATTGCAGGGAATACTTTAAAAATGGCATATTGCTTTTTGCATTGCAACAATCAACTCTTAGGAAAAACATGAGAGGCTATACCACGAAGTGTGTCTGGTTATCTCTGGGTGCTTGACTGATAAATTTTTGTTTTACTTTTATCTTTATAAATTCATGTATTGTCTGCATAACTACAATGAACATTCATTCATTCATTCACAAAGAAGTCCTGGGGAACTTTTAAAAGAACTGTTTATTTATTCATTTAGAGAGAGATTGAGATAGAGCGTGAACAGGTGGCTGGCAATAGAGAGAGAAGGAGACAGAGAATCCCAAGCAGGCTCTGCAGTCCAGATCCTGACATGGGGCTCGAACCCATAAACCATGAAATCATGACCTGAGCTGAAATCAAGAGTTGGAAGCTTAACTGACTGGGCCATCCAGGCACCCTCACTTATTTCTCTTATAACCAACAATTTGGAAACAAAAAACAAACACAATCACTTTTTAAAAATTGTAAAGGGATCACGCTGATTATGCTAGAGCCATTTGTATTTTTTTTTTCCCTTAGTGCCTGGCCAATACCTGGCACAAAACTGGCATTCAATAAATATCAGGTGAGTGAATGAATATTTCTACAATCTCTCTCTCAGAGGAAAAACATGTTCATGTAACTTGCTTATCTTTTAAGAACTCTGCACTGTGATTTTTTTTTTAATTATTTATTTCTAGGAGAGAGAGAGAGAGAGAGACAGCGTGAGCAGGGGAGGGTCAGAGAGAGAGGGAGTCACAGACTGAAACAGGCTCCAGGCTCTGAGCGGGCAGTCAGCACAGAGCCCGACGCGGGGCTCGAACCCACGAACCGCGAGATCATGACCTAAGCGAAAGTCGGACGCTCAACCGACTAAGCCACCCAGGCGCCCCTGCACTGTGATTTTAATATAGTAACAGTAATCTGAAGGTTGCAGAGTTGAAACTTGTCTGCAATTATAGAATTGCCCTTCCCTTCACCTGTCTTCACTCAATATATTCTTTTTTTTAAATTTTTTTTTAACGTTTTGTTGATTTCTGAGAAAGAGAGACAGCATGAGCAGGGGAGGGTCAGAGAAAGAGGGAGACATAGAATCTGAAACAGGCTCCAGGCTCTGAGCTAGGTGTCAGCACAGAGCCCTACGGGGGGCTTGAACCCACGAACAGTGAGATCATGACCTGAGCCAAAGTCGGCCGCCCAACCGACTGAGCCACCCAGGTGCCCCTTCACTCAGTATATTCTATATGTGTTTATGAATTCAAATGGGCTGCTATTAGCCCTTTTAGCAGCATGAGATCTGAACATTTTCAAAGTACCTTTGAAGTCCAATCGGTATATTCATTCTGTCGCAAGTAGCTTCATCCAAAATGTCCTTATGCTGACTGCCGCTTAATTTATAAAAAATCGACTTTCTCAGTTTAGTGGCCAAAACAGTCTTCAGCACAGCAAAGTTTTTTTCTTTCACTACTTTTGACTTCCTCTTTTAAATATGGGAAATTGTGGGTACCCAGGTGCTTCCGTGGACTTTAGTGCAATTAACTGGGCCCCAAGAGATTTCTCATGTTATTTAAAGAAGTTCATTTCTGATGAAGGTCACCTTACAGGAGTGGGGAAAGCTGTTCTATCCAGCCCAGCCCAGAAGAGCAGTGCTAGAAGGAACCTATGTTGCAGATATTCATCTGATCAATAAATCAATGTTCAAAAGGGTTTTATAATCTCTCACATAGAAACTCTCTCAAGGAAACACCATCCTTGATGGTTATAAAACTGAGAGGAGAAAGGAAACACACTCTTACACAGGTCTGTGGTTCAAAGATGATTTCAAAATTCTAGAGAACTGTAAGTTGCAATGAAATCTAAAACAGTAACAAATGCAAAGCCTCCCCAGAGGCTATAGATCTCTTTTGCTTCAGCCTTAAGTATCTAATAGTTTTTAATCCTAGCATTCAAGATCAGAGATCAACAGTATTTGGAGATAGGGGAGGTGGTGGTGATAACAAGACAACTTTCCTGAAATCTCTCTACTGCCAGTAACCTTGCTAAGAATTTCTGGGACCTTATCTACAACAAGCCTGTCTCCCAAGTTCAGTGGTTCTCAATGCTTACTGTGCGTAAACACCACTTGGAGAGCTTGTTTACCGGGAAGAGTGCTGGGCATTAGCCTCAAAAAATTGTTATTCAGTGTAATATATTACATTAATTATATTAATATTAGTCAATCCAGGTACTAAATACATTACTTAGATTTTCTTCTTCTTTCTAGTGTTTACTGATGTTAAAATTTGATTTTTAATTTTTTTAAAGATTTTATTTTTAATTTTTATTTAATTTATTTTTTTAATTTACATCCAAGTTAGTGAGCATAAAGTGCAACAATGATTTTAGGAGTAGATTCCTTAATGCCCCGTTACCCATTTAGCCCATCCCCCCTCCCACAACCCCTCCAGCAACCCTCTGTGTGTTCTCCATATTTAAGTCTCTTATGTTTTGTCCCCCTCCCTGTTTTTATATTATTTTTGCTTCCCTTCCCTTATGTTCATTTAAGATTTTATTTTTAACTAATCCCTGCCCCTAACGTGGAGCTTAAACTCACAACTCCGAAATCAAGAGTTGCGTACTCCACCGACTGAGCCAGCCAGGCACCCTGATTTTTTCACTTCAGTTGAAACATTTTCATTTCATAATCTCTCATCTCATTAGCTATCAAATGTAAGACGAGAAGGGTAACATCTCTAAACATATAAGTTTAATTTTGAAGGATTCTAGTCTGTTTTCTTACTTTCATGTTGAAAATTCAGAGATTCTCATGATTCATTAGCTAAATCCATTTAGCTAAAAATCCATTAGCTAAAAAATCCCATTTCCCATTTCTAGTATTTTAAATGGATAGATCAAGTAAACTATTTGCAAAGCACAAAGAAATTAGACCAGCACAAGTAAACATGCATATGTATTAATACAAAGAATGAAATTAATGATCAGGTTAGTAAGCACAATATCTAGTATATGTTTTCTGTTGAAAACGGTAGTTGTTGAGGATGCAAGGCTAACTTACACTACTCTGAAAAGCATGGCATCTAACACAAGCTTGGCACATACTTGTTGAATTTGACTACATTTAAACCAATTAGATAAGAAAACACTGGCCTTTCAGCTGAACCTCAAAATACAGTATATTAGAAATAAAAATAAGAAAATTGAGTAGGTAAAAAATCTACCCCCTCTGCCGGTGCTAAGATAAGCTTTTAAAGAATTGTTTGATTTTAAAGTACTTACAGTGAAGAAATAGGTTCCGAACAGGAAGTGTCTTGTAGTGTGGGAGAGAACCTCACTAGAGGAGAAAGGTATATGAAGACAGAGAAGTAAATGTGCAGCACATAGTTCAAACAACTGATTCAGAGGTTTTTATTGGCCAGTGTAATTCTAGCAGCAAGGTGTGTTCAAGCTACCTTGAAACTGAAAATACTTCTTGCCCCATAATGTGTGCTCCTTCTCCTGGGTTGTGTTAAGGGAAAAGATTTGATTTATTATATAATTTGATTGCTTTTACATGCCTGGGAGAGCTTACCAATTTTTAAAATTTACTTCCTTTAGTGCAACAAATAACTACGGTTTAGCATAGATCTATTGCCATATTTATATTGGGAGAAAAAAGAACATCTGGAATTCTATACATAATCTGAATTTCTCTTTCTTTTTTTCTGCTTCTTTGGACATCTTTTGTTTTCTCTAGCATTGATGAAATGCTTACTATGTGTTAGGAACTGTTCTAAACACTCTGCATGTTTTAATTTATTGAATTCTGCCCTCAATTCTGTAAGGTAGGAATGACTACTACCTCCATTTGACTGACAAGGAAACTGAGTCACAGCAATGTTAAATGGCTAGTAGGTGGCAGCTAGGATTTGGCTGAAACGGACTCTAACCTGTGGATGCTGGTGTTTTCACGACAAACTCTCTCACATTCTCACCATATAGTCTGACATTAGCCCTGCTCTTGTGAGAAATATTTGCTATTTCAAACAACCTCACAGTGGGTGAGAAGGAAGCTGATTTCCCTCAGTTCTGAAAGGTTTAAGTTACGAATCAGAAACCAAACACTATGAACAAGTATTTCTGAAGGGAGAAACACATGTGTAAAAAAATGGCATAAAGAACCTGAACTTGATGTAGTAAGAAGAGCCATAGTTTATAGGTGAGCCGACATGGGATAAAATCCTAGTCATGCAATGTGTAGCTATGTGGCCTCTGAAACTCAACTCAAAGACATGAGCCTTGGTTTCCTCACCTCTAAAATTAGAGAAGTCAGGCTTACCTACCAGTCATTAAGGAGTCATTGGTAATATGTGGCCCATTTTAGTGTTCAGTATATGTAAGCTGATACCACTGAAAAATGCTTGAGATACCAACTATAATCTGACACAGTGCTTTTTTTTCCTCAGTGACGACATGCAGTCTTGACAAAGTTTTGCAAAATGGATAGACCTTTTGATTTGGGTGGCATTATAATTTGGTACTCTCCTTTTTGGAAAGCAGTATTGGTTATACAGTATATATACTATATAATATTAATATATTAATATAATATTATATATAATAACATATATAATTATAATTATTATAATATTATATATTATATATCGGAATTTAAAAATATCCTGTAGCCTGAAATTTCACTAACTGTGAGTATTTTCTTTTTTTTTAATTTATTTTTATTTATTTTGAGAGAGAAAGTGTAAGTGGGGAAGGGACAGAGAGAGAGAGGGAGAGAGAGAATCCCAAGCAGACTCCATGCTGTCAATGCAGAGCCTGACGTGGGCCTCAATGTCATGACCCTGAGATCATGACCTGAGCTGAAATAAAGAGTTTGATGCTTAATTGACTGAGCCACCCAGGTGCCCCAAGATTGTCTTTTTAAATTTTTCGCCCATGGGCCCTTTGTTTGCCTCAACCTCCTCCCAGTCCTGAATGTTTATTCATGAATATTCATACATAAAGGAGATATTCATACATGAAGGAAAGGGTCCATTCATGTCAAGTCTGTGTTGAGGAATTAGAGTTTAACCACCCAGCCCAATTCTTTGAGGTATGCTGGGGAAAACTGGAGAAGAATGCAAGATGACATATTTGCAGACAGAAAAAATCTTGGCAGAATACTATGTAATAGGGATTAACAATTGGTGAAGTTCACTGTGGGCTGGGAAAGTAAATTAATTCTACGGTAAGTAAATCTTGAAGGATAGGATTTGAATTGATGCCGATATAGAGATGGAATAGAATGAGCCAAGATGAAGAGAAAGGAACTATCAGGAAACCCGAGCGACTACTTTTCTGACCCAAAAGCTTTGACTTAAATGGGAATAATGGGATGCATTTGAAATAGAGTTGGTGCCAGAAAAACTGTTCACTTTCCATGTCTCTTGAATGTCTAATAGGCATCTCAAGCTTAACATGACTTCAGTGAAACTTTGAGTTCCCTTCATCAAAAGATGCTTCCAACAGGGGCACCTGCGTGGCTCAGTTGGTCAAGTAACCCACTCTTGATTCCAGCTCAGGTCATGATCTCACAGTTCATGACTTCAAGCCCTGCATCAGGCTCTGCTCTGGCAGCATGGAGCCTGCTTGGGATTCTCTCTCTTCCTCTCTCTGCCCCTTCCCTACTCATGTGCTCTCTCTCTTTCTCAACATAAATAAATAAACATTAAAAAAAAAGATGCTTCTATCACTCAGGAAATTACCAGAGCTTTTGAAGCTCTGCACCGGGAGATGAGGACAAAGACCAAATATATACATAAATATATATATACTTATGACACAGTGCTCCAGCCTGGGAAGAATGTGGACATTGGATGTCACCCTACTGGACTCTGTCTGTGGTTCATAAACTATGATGGAGAGAAGGTTCTACTTGCCTTTCACAAATTGTTAAAATCATTGTATTCATTTAAATCTACAATTAAGTTGAGATTATTGTATGGACCCATCATCCATCTTCAATAATAATCAACTCATTACCAATATTATTTCATTTATATTCACATCCAATTACAACTTCTTTCTCCCCTGGATAATTTTGAAGCAAATTCCAGACATCATATAATTTCATCATCTTCTTGATCCATTCATCCGTTGATGGACACTTAGGTTCTTTCCATGTTTTGGCTTTTGTTGAGAGTGCTGCTATGAACATTGGGGTATATGTGCCCCTATGCCTCAGCACTCCTGTATCCCTTGGATAAATTCCTAGCAGTGCTATTGCTGGGTCATAGGGGAGTTCTATTGTTAACTTTTTGAGGAACCTCCACACTGTTTTCCAGAGGGGCTGCACCAGTTTACATTCCCACCAAAAGTGCAGGAGGGTGCCTGTTTCTCCACATCCTCACCAACATCTAGAGTCTTCTGATTGGCTCATTTTAGCCACTCTGACCAGCGTGAGGTGGTATCTCAGTGTGGTTTTGATTTCTATTTCCCTGATGAGGAGGGATGCTGAGCATCGTTTCATGTGTCTGTTGGCCATCTGGATGTCCTCTTTGGAGAAGTGTCTGTTCATGTCTTCTGCCCATTTCTTCACTGGGTTGTTTGTTTTTCGGGCGTGTAGTTTGGTGGGTTCCTTATAGATTTTGGATATTAACCCTTTATCTGATATGTCATTTGCAACTATCTTTTCCCATTCCATTGGTTGCCTATTAATTTTCTGGGTTGTTTCCTTTGCTGTGCAGAAGCTTTTAATCTTGATGAGGTCCCAACAGTTTATTTTTGCTCTTGATTCTTTTGCTTTTGGGGATGTGTCAAGTAAGAAATTGCTGCAGTGGAGGTCAAGGAGGTTATTTCATGTTTTCTCCTCTAAGGTTTTGAAGGTTTCCTGTCTCACATTCAGGTCCTTTATCCATTTTGAGTTTATTTTTGTGTGTGGTGTGAGAAAATGATCTAGTTTCATTCTTCTGCATGTTACTGTCCAGTTCTCCCAGCACCATCTGTTAAAGAGGCTGCCTTTTTTCCATTGGATATTCTTTCCTGCTTTGTCAAAGAATACTTGGCTATATACTTTTGAGTTCACTTCTGAGTTCTCAATTCTGTTCCATTGGTCTATGTGTCTGTTTTTGTGCCAATACCATACTGTCTTGATGGTGACAGCTTTGTAGTAGAGGCTAAAGTCTGGGATGGTGATACCTCCCGTTTTGGTTTTATTCTTTAGTGTTACTTTGGCTATTCGGGGTCTTTTGTGGTTCCATACAAATTTTAGGATAGTTTGTTCTAGTTTTGAGAAGTATGCTGGTGCAATTTTGATGGGGATTGCACTGAATGTGTAGATTGCTTTGGGTAGTAATGGCATTTTAACTATATTAATTTTCCAATCCATGAGCATGGAATGTTTTTCCATTTCTTTGTGTCTTCTTCAATTTCCTTCATAAGTTTTCTATAGTTTTCATCATATAGATCTCTTGTATCCTTGTTAGGTTTATTCCTAGGTATTTTATGGTTTTTTGTGCAATTGTGAATGGGATCAGTTTCTTGATTTCTCTTTCTGTTGCTTCATTGTTGGTGTATAAAAATGCAACCGATTTCTGTACATTGATTTTGTGTCCTGCAACTTTCCTGAATTCATGGATCAGTTCTAGTAGGCTTCTGGTGGAGTCTGTCGGGTTTTCTATGTAGAGTATCATGTCGTCTGCGAAAAGTGAAAGTTTGACTTCTTTGCCGATTTTGATTCTTTTGATTTCCTTTTGTTTTCTGATGGCTGATGCTAGGACTTCCAGCACTATGTTAAACAACAGTGGTGAGAGTGGACATCCCTGTCGTGTTCCTGATCTCAGGGGGAAAGCTCTCAGTTTTTCCCCATTGAGGATGATGTTAGCTGAGGGCTTCTCATAGATGGCTTTTATGATGTTTAAGTAAGTTCCTTCTATCCCGACTTTCTCGAGGGTCTTTATTAAGAAGGGATGTTGTATTTTGTCAGATGCTTTTTCTGCATCTATCTACAGGATCATGTTTTTTATCTTTTCTTTTGTTGATGTGATGTATCACATTGATTGATTTGCGAATATTGAACCAGCCCTGTAACTGAGGAATGAAGCCTACTTGATCATGGTGGATAATTCTTTTTATGTGCTGTTGGATTCGATTTGCAAGGATCTTGTTGAGGATTTTTGCATCCGTATTCATCAAAGATATTGGCCTGTAGTTCTCTTTTTTGGCTGGGTCTCTGTTTGGCTTGGGAATCAGAATGATGCTGGCTTCATAAAACGAGTCTGGAAGTTTTCCTTCAATTTCTATTTTTTGGAATAGCTTGAGAAGAATGGGTATTAATTCCATTTTAAATGTCTGGTAGAACTCCCCAGGGAAGCTATCAGGTCCAG